GCCAAATGCCTCTGAGCTGAATTTCTGGTCGGAGAGGCTACACCTCTGAGGCCCTGCAAGGAATTCTCAGGCTGGCAGAAGAGCAGATGGCCTTTGACATGTTTCTTCACTTCTTATTTGGCATGTGAACGTGCTTATGAGTGAGAGAAACAGTATCTGGGAAGAGCTGGGGTCACGTCATAGTTCTGTTACTCATCTTCTGGAAACGAGCTGTGGCTGCTGTGAGATGTAAGGTATGCTGCAGCCCTCGCGCACATACTGTAAGGGGAGTCCTATGGGCTTGCAGAATTCTTGGGATAACTGCAGAGAGCTCTGCACCTTGTGCTACACATCATGCTGCCTGTCCTCTGCAAGAATGGGACAGCATAGCTCTGTGGCCTGCCAGGCTGAGGCAGTGTTCGAGTTTCTCTCTCAAGTTTCATATGCCTCCCTACTCCATTTATATAGCATTTACTTGCCCTTCTCAAGGTCTAATTTCATTCCCCCGATGCGGTAGGCCTGCGAGGATCACAGGGAAGGCTCTGTGTATCTGTGATCTGCAAGGCAGTGAGGGCACACCAGCAGCCTGTGCCTGTGCCCGCTGGGGATGGGTGTTTGGTGGCTCCAGCATCCCTCCAGCCCAAAATGTGGTGTTGGGTTGACAGTCCTCACCTTTTGCAGACCAGTCTGACAGTTTAAAAGATGAATGCAAAGGTAACTTTGATGTGTTGCCAGATACACCTCCTGGACTTCACTGCCTGGTGGAATTAGCTTAGTGGGTGAGCTAAAAGGATCAATCCCCTTAGGAGGCCTGAAGAGAGAGCCCTACTGCTTTGGAGGCTTTCTACAGAGACCAGAAAGTTCCATGCACAGTAGACACAACATTCTTAATTTTGGCTCCTTTCACTTGAATTAACACTTCTTGTCAGTAGTCCCGGACTGCCTGCCATCCTGGAGTCCTACTAACTAAGGTGGCTGAGGTGGAGATGAGCTACGGGTGCTCTACAGCTTGAGCGATGCTTTGTCATGCCACTGATAACTGCTGATTCCTCTTTTCCTCCCCAGCAATGCTTTATCCCTCTGACATGCTCAGCTTCCGCTGGCCCACGACCTGCTACAGGTTTTGAAACTGGATCCCTTGACTGGTTGTGACCCATGCTGGTGCAATGGCTGGTGTGGCTGATGATTAATTTACCGCTCACCTGTTTGTGTATCACTTGCTTTGCTACTTGGAATAGAAACAGAAGATGGTTGTTTCTGAATGAAGCAGATTTCACAACTGATGAAGGAAGCAGGAAGATTGGACTGCTTGTGAGTATCTGGTCTGGTTGTTTTGGAGAGTGAGGAATCATTTTCATTAAAATCACTGGTTACTGTTCTGTTCCTTGTAATCTGTATACACGCCAAATGCTGGCTTCTGAGAACTGGGGGTTACGCGCTTGGGAAATGCCAGTGAAAGGTTTGGTGGCTCTACAGAAACATCACGCAGCTGTGGGTGCTACAAATGAAACTCCCGAACCTGACTTTCACTTATGCTGATGCTCCAGTACTCTTGTTGATACTCCTTGCACAGATAATTGCTGAGAAAAAAGTAGCCATTTTTCCCCGCTGGCCAATGGAGCCATTTGTACTTCAATTATGAATGTTATCAGTTGAGCTGCATCATTCTACAGCTACTGTTGCATAGCTATAAATGATGTAAAAATATACAGAAATACAGAGAAACAGGACTCTGGAGTCATCCTACAGCTAAGCCTGAATGACAAATGTGTAGGTATCTTAGACATGGGGTCAATCAGGGATAAAATGATAGCTTGGGATTTACTTGCGGGTTTTTGTCTTCTGGTCAGCCCTAAGATGTCTTTTTCTTTCATCACATCTTTACTTCAAATGACCAAAAGCCCCACTTTGCTTTTTAAATAAGCAGAATCCTACCTTTGCAAACAAAAGCAATGATGACAAAACTAGGCTTTTAAGGTAAGAGGTCAGTTTGTTAGAGAGTGAAATAACAACAGCCAGCTTCTGTCCATTTGAAGTAAACGTTGATGTTGTTATCCACATACTTATTGCCCACATAAATCTGGGCAGAAATAAGTCTTTACATTGCAGAGGCTGCTCCCAGGTTTGTTACTTCTGAAGCATTAAGTGATGTGGGCCAGGCTTGCCTACCAAGCTACTTAACTTGTGTTAAGCACCACCTTAAAGCAAATGTGAATAAAAAGGAGAGTTTTAGGCCCTTGATAGCCTGAACTTGCTTTTGCATCTGTAGATAAACTACTTGATTTTATAAAGACAACATTTATCTCTGAGGTTTTCTCCCGCTGTCTGGTGGGAGCAGCTGTACAATGAAAAACCAGTTGCTCGGACTGGGCCGACTGCTCCGGCAGCTGGGATAGGGGTGTGCGATCTTCTGTTTCTTCAACAGGAATTTCACTCTGGTTTAGGGAGACAGATGCTCTCTTTGTGAAAGGTCTGTTTTAATTAATTTATTTACCCTTTAAATTCCATCTAGCCAGAAAAAAATGTCACTGATGACAGGAAATATGGTCAAGGAACTGTTTTTATTTTGATGTTACTCATACTACAGGAAATGAGCATGTCATTATTGCACCTTCCTGCGAGTTGACACCAGGACCACTTGCTGTGCTCTTTAGTTTATTTTTATTTCTGGAATTTAAATGTGAAATTCCTATTTCAGACTCATGTTGACCACAAGCTGAAGTTTGCTGAATGATCTTTTTTACGACATGCAAGTTATTCAGTGTAGTGACAGGTAGGGAAAACCCATCCACATTCCATTATCAACAAAGATTGAAGAACTCTGAATGGAAGGCCCCAGGAGTAGATGAAGGCTGAGGAGCAGAGGCTTTATACTTGGATATGTCTAACCATGCTCTTTAGTTTTCTAACTGGTCCCTCCGTTACAATTGTTCATACAATAGAAACAGTAGTTCCCTTTGTGCATCTGGCCCTTCAGCTCTGTGAGGTAAGGAAGAAAGGGAGTTTCCTTGGGGACAGAGAAAGGCTTTGGTCCCTTGTGGCTAAGGACAAACCATCCCTGCACAGCACTGAATCAGCCCTGTGCGTCTTTTCAACAAGGTAAGTGCTGATGGAGGGTTGCAACAATCCTCACATTATTTTACCTACTCAGTGAGCCAGAGCACTCAAGCTGTGGGCCAGATTTACACAACAGCCAGCTGAGTGCGGCAGATGAAAGGCTTGTAACCATCTGCAGTGCCGCATGCACACGGCTAAAATAAACCCCAGCCTGCTGGCACTGTCAGCATGTGTCATTTATTACTGCAGCCCAGGCAGCCAGGAAAGTGCATTTTGCTTTTTTGGGTAAATTCTGTTCTGCACTGAAATGCTGCTGACTGTGCCCAAATTGCTGGTTTTGTTTGATTTTCTTCCTTTGGAGTTTTGTTTTAGATTTAATTCTCCCTGAAAAAACCCAAACCAGTTTATGCTTCACAAGTGAAGCAGTGGTCTACGTCTGTTGTAGCTACTTATAGCTGCAATCAGTCATCTCCTTACAGAATCAATAGTCTTTAGCAGGCACTCATAAGTCCCAGGGGAGGCAGGCTGCAGCAGTTGCATGTGTGAACTGTAACCACTCGGGTTTGTCCTTGCAGGAAGTAGAGTAAGACCAACTCCAAGAGGTGTTTGAGGACAGGCTTTACCTGGTTCTTAAGGCTTCTTATAGTTCCTCACCTACAGCAAGACAATGTAACTTCCCAGAATTTCCTTGGAACCTGTTGAGCTGTTTCTGCAGTAACCTAAATGCCAGGTAATGGGTGTACTCTGATTAGACAAAGAAATTTGGGTTGACTTTTTGCAATGCAGATGCTAACTTCAATTTAAACTTTCATCATAAAATAGACCCCCGTTTCTGCATTTGTTGTACAAGATGCCTGATGTGTCTTCTACTTAGATAGTTGCCATGGTTTAAGCTGAACTCAGGACAATAGTCCTAGCCATGAATTGGTACCCAAGTCAACCTCTTCCCAAAACCAAAGCTTGATGCCAACGCTATGCCAAGGTTGTCATTAATACAAAAATTGAACCGGCTGTTCTAGTGTTGTGCAGTTTGAAAACTGTTGCAGTCTTCCCTATCCAGATGTATCAGCTGAATCATGGACAGTGAGGATTAAACAGCTGAAGAGCTGTGTATTAAATAAACAAACAAAAGAGCTGTGTATTAAAACAGCTCAAGAGCCACCATATGCAGTGGCTAGAGATAAATGTCCGTTTCAGGCCAGAAAGCTGATGGGAGGTTAGGCAAAGGCTGAGAGCAGCTAATAATGAAAAATGGCTCTTTCTACAAGGAGTAAGACAATTGAGTTCATGGCTGAGGGCTGAAGAAGGAATGATCATCTACGAGCACCAAAAGAAATTCTTATGATCAGAAAGTTGCCTGCCCACACTCAATCCTTATTTCACCCTAGGTAATTCAAGGAAAAGGAATGTTTCTTACAATCAACCTTTTTCTTCTTTCACAGTAACTGTAAAACGTAAGAACCTCATGCCTCAATGGGACTGAACATCCAACAAGGCCCTCTTCCAGGATGGACAAATAGTTCCAGGTATGTAGGTATGCTTTGATGTGGGTAAGTTGAATTCTTACAGATCGCAAAATCCTGGATCTTTATATCAGGACCACAACTGTACTAGCAATGAATTTATTTATTATAAATAAAAACCAATAAATATTTCAAAACTTACTAATACAGCTTTCTAAAAATATACATCTAATTTTAATATTCTTAAAAGTTAATTCTGAGTTATAAAACTATAGACAAAATAGACAAAATTTTTTGATAACTGACGGTTTACCCTTTAGAGTTTACATTAGTATGAAGATTAATTAATGCTCAATTAACAGTATCCTGCTAGAGAGATTTTAGCAGTATTTAAACAGGAATAAACTAAAAATAAACCAAATAATTCACTATTATTTACCAAATGGCAGTTCTCCACAGAACTGGCTCTATCCCTATTTAACAGCTAAGTTTTGGCTACTATTATGTATAGTCACGTGGGATCCGAAGGGCCTTTGCAAAGCTTTCCTCAAGATCATCAAGTTCCTCATTGGCTTCCAAACCCCTGTCACAAGTAATCGCGTTTAAAGTTGCCTCACATGAGTGTAAAATGTCTCTGTCTTCCTCAGATTTCACACAAGAACCAGATGCTGCTGCAGCATCCATCATTTCAGCAACATCTTCTGAAAAGTCATCCTTGCCCAGTGTCTCCTTTGAGTGTTCCCTGAATATTGGTGATTCACATTTTTCTGGTTCCTCTAATAAGAAGTCCATGGTCCCAAAGAATTCATCGCTTTTTGTAGCTTTTCCTCGTCCCTGACTTTTACTGGTAATCTCAAGCTCTTCCATCATATCGAACTCTCGCAAATCCAGTGAGAGTTCTGCTTCCCAGCCTGTGTGGCTGTACTTCGCATCGCTGCCCGGGCTGCAGCCGAGGTCTGCTTTCAGTACATCCAACAAGTGGCGCATTTTGCTCTAGGGGGTGAAGAAAGAAAGGGGTGACACTCCTCCAGCCCCACAGTGCCTATATAAACTCGGGGTTTAATTCTGACAGAAGGAAAGGGAGGCTGCTTGCAATAACTGACTAAATTATACAGTAAGCGTCTCCAAACTGAGTTGACTATTGTCCCTTTTTTGTGACTCCTGACATACTGTGATCTGTGAGTCTGCAAGCCTCATTTATGGAAAGCCTCATTTATTCTGGTTGCCTTTACTAGCAAATACACCAGTGCACTTCCACTGTACTTTGGAAACAGTACCCAAGTTTTTACAAGGGCATGTAGCGATAGGACAAGGTAGATTTAGATTAGATGTAAGTAAGAAATTCTTCACTATGACGGCAGTGAGGCACTGGAAGAAGTGCCAGAGAAGTTACGGATGCTCCATTCCTGGCAGTGTTCAAGGCCAGGCTGGATGGGGCTTTGAGTAACCTGGTAGATGATCTTTAAGGTTCCTTCCAACCCAAACCATTCTATGATTCTATGAAGACATATGCAAAGAAGGGGAGTATTATAGGGGCAGCACCTACCTCATCCAAACGGTTCTTATTTTCTTCTATGAGACACTCAAACAGTTGTTCCAGAACTCTACAAATGAACAATTAAATTATTCCACGGGAAGAAAAACAACTCTTAACAGATCTACATAAATGAATGACCTTAGTTTTTAATTTTCATTTCTTAGCTGAATGGGACCACTAAGTATGCTCTGTCACAAAAAGGGCTACCCAGAGTCAGTATCCCACTACACACATGCTCAGCAGGCAGACCTGGCTTTGGGCAGCAGATGGTAACCATGGGGTGGTGGTGATCTGTAGCATGACTCTGGGTGTGTTTGGTGTGTTGGGTCTATGATGTGGTAAAAACCAACAATCCAGTGGTGGTTCTACTGGCATGCTGAAGTATCCAAAATTGCTTAAGTGCACAGTAGGGGCTGATATACACAAGTGTAAATAGAGCAAAGGAATACAATCCAGCCTCAGAAAAAAAAAAACAAAATCCAGAGAAAAGTCCTCCGTCCTGAAAGCTCTCTTCCATTGCTTAAAGCAGGGTAAGAAAAAATTTCAGCACAGAGGAAGTGTTCTGTGACAGCTCAGATAGACAGTCACTGGAACAGATTTCCAGAAGGTCAAGTGACTTTGATCCAGCTTACATGAGAAATTGTAATAATAATAATAATAAAAAATAATAGTGCAAGCAGGGTTTTAAGGGAAGACAAGCTTACTGGTAAAAAGAACCTGGAAATTTCTCAAAGATTTTTTTTATTGAGTGCATTTAACATTCTCATTGATAACCTTGACATGAGAAAGAACAATAAGTGCACAGAGCAGAAAGCCAGCTGGGGGCATTATGAACCCAGAGGAAGATCAGAATATTATACTGAAATTACACTGCCTTGAAAATGGAATTACAAAAGTGGGTTAAAATTCTGTATCAGAAATACTGCACTTTGGTTTGGTTTTTTTTCCTATAAACTGAATTCTTTATCTGAAAGAACTGATACAGAAAAGAATCTGGGAGTACTACTCAAAGACATGGATTTTACTATAACTTATTATTTAAGAAAAATAATCTGATTTAGCAACTGGTGAACTCTTATTTGAAAGTGTGTAATCCTGACAACCTCTGTTGAAGACAGAATTCATACTGGAATAGCAACAAGGACAGAAGGGAGATGGAGGATTTGCTGTGTGAAAGACCAGAAACGTGGTGTACTTAGAAAAACAGATGTTGCAGAGTAAAATGATTTCTTCTTAGCATTACTCCACCTAGGGTTTCAGGTCAGTTTCTAACAGAGGCTTTATCTCATTGTACATGGCAGCAGATCAAAGTAGATGACCCACGGGTCTTTCCTAGTTCCTCTTTCACACATAAAGCGAAAGAGAAAAGGAAACAAAACAAAAGCCGGGCTAACTGTGTATCCATATATTTTTAAATGCAACTAAATGATTACTAAACACTATTTCCTTTTCTTATTGAGTCCATGTGTTTCTGGCACAGCACTGCAAGTTTGAAAGCAACTGTAACTTACCTGTTAGAAAATAGCCCAAGGCTAAGAATTTCATTTGTTACTTCTTCAATGAAAGCTAAATATAAAAACTCTTCTCTGCAGGGAGAAAAGAAAACCCAATATTACATGTTTTAAAATAGAGAAAATGCTTTAAAATAGAGACACATATTACACTATGTAGTAGGTCCCATCACCTTTATGGAAAATATGATTAAGAAGACTGTATTATTTCTTGGCACCAACTTCTATTTTTCTAGAAGGCAATTCTATCAGGACAAGCTTTCATTCAATTTGAATAATAATAAAAACCCTGTGTAAAATATCAGACTATTAGAAAGGTCACTGTGGTGCTTTGTGTTTATGCTATCTTTCTGTTGTGGTATGAATTAGCACAGAGATCCTGAGTGAGGAAATCAGCAGATCTTGGAAAGATCTTGCACTCAAGAAGAAAAGAGTGCTAAATGGGAAGAATGTGTAAAATTGCAGTTTGATGCTGTAAGTAAACGCTTCCAAAGAAGGTGCTAGAGAATCTCACTGCACCTGAAAATTGCTACTCCTCAATGTAAGCTCAGAAAAAGTACTTATTTGACAGCCATGTTTTCTTTCAAATAACTCTTTGATGTACAAAATCCTTGTTAGTGAGAGATGTGGCTTTCACCTCTTTGAACAAATTTCTATTTTAATACTTCTTAAAGCCTTGTTGATGCCAACTGCTCTAAATGGGAGACTCCAAAAGTTTGGAGTTCTGTTTCGAAAACAAGAAGAAAGAAAACAAAGCAAAGAGTTCAGTGCTGTTTCTCTTTCATAGTGTCTTTCTAAATATCCCGAAGTATCCAATCAAGCCCTATCAAATCATCCTCCAGTCTTAATAAACAGAAAATAAAAAAGAGGATATATCTTACATGACTTTAGTTATGTAAAATTTGTCATCTATCCTGAAGATTGTCATTTTGGTTCCCCCTACAGTAAAGAAAGTTACCTATAGGTAATCTTTGATACCTGTATTACATCCTTAAAGTTAGGCAAGAACAAACCTATCCTAAAGCACAAAGAATAATACTAACTTAACCCTCTTCTAATTCTCACCAAATTTCAGAGCAGAAATGTAGTAAGAATGCCATTCAACTTGGTATTTTATTTTGTCAGTATGTGCTTCAGACATTACAGACCAATAAAGAACTGGAAACATTTAAAGTATAGCCCCTGGGCAAGAAGAGAAATCTATCTTTCTTCCAAAGTTACAATGAATTTTCTTCACATGAAAATGAATGATTTTTTAGGTTCACATGGAAATTTTAAAGTATTATGTAACAACTCAGAGTCATGTTAATTACAACCTCAATTGTGAACAACAGTTTATCCAGCTCCTCATTTACTGCCTCAGTTTCGAGGAAGAGTTTCCAGTTTACTGTTGCAAACTAGCAGAAGAACAGTTTAAGCATACTTACTCAGCCTTGATGGTCCTTGCAGAAGACTGCTGAGAATACAACGGTGTCTCTCTAGTCAGAAAATCAGAGGGTGAGAGAGAGACATTCTAAATACCTTTTATGCTACCTTCTATCTCATTTTCTTCTGGAGCTATGCTGGGCCATTATCCTGCTTCCTCTTGGGAAAAAAATCCCCCAGAACACCCCCAAACCCTGCTCCAGTAGCAAAATCCACTACTTACTTACATTTATTTCTGAATTACATTGGAGCCTGAAAGATGATGATGCAAGAGTATTTTAACACCGCACTAGACGCAGTGCTCTAATTATCTCAAAGCCCTCAGTGTTACTTCGGATGCTATAAAGACCTCCATTCCCCTAAGAGTGCTTTTTTTTTTTACTCAGAGTACAATTTTTCCTCAGGTAAAAATGCCTTTGTATGAAAGGACCAGAGAGCAAACCAGTGAGATGTGCATGATAATTAGGCCAGCAATCAGGAGAATCAGGTGGGAGCCCTTGGGCTCTGGCCTGATTTCCAACACTGTTCCTGTATTGTAGACAGTATTCTGTTATGAAGCATTACATTTTTAGAAAAAGATAAGGGAAATGCCTCTCATCTGCAGTTCTTGCAGATCGTAAGATTCAAAAGGCTGGATGTCTGCAGACCCTTTCTCCTGAAAGGAAATACCAACTGGAATACAAATCCAGTATTTAGTTGCAGTACTGTGTAAGAATACACAGTCTCTAAGCTCAGATGTACAGAAGTAACAGTGGCATTAATGTGCCATTGCTCACACTCCTACAAAAACACTCGCATTTCAGAGCTCTCTTTCTTAACTGGCTTCCCAGTGGAACTTTATCATAAGAAAATAATGAATTTTGAAGTTGGGAAAGGCCATTGATACTTAAAAAAAAAAACAAAACCGAAGTCCTGTGATAAGAGATTTCTAAAGAGAACCTGTGATGAAGGCTTATGGCCTAAGAAGCAGCTGTATTGAAAGCAAGAAGGCTTCAAATATTCATTCCTGCTCTAAATCAAGTACCTTAGGAAGGAGTATGGAAAAGCAGCTATTCTTCTCTCAGGCTCATGCACAGTGTATCTCCTATCTTCAGCCTACAACACAGAGATAAAATCTTTATTTAAATGCAAACACACCGCGAATTTTACCATTAAAATGAACCTAATAACTATCTATGATTAAGCAGCCATACAAATTTTCTGTCTTTTTTTAAAAAGCTTTGGGTAAACAGAGACATATTGCAGCAAATGGTCATCACTTTTGACATACAAAATTTTAGTGAGGGGCAATAGGACATGTGAAACATTTTTCCCCTGACAGGTATGTCAAAGATGAATTCACTAGAAGCCAGAGGGGGTTGATGTCACCAAAAGAAGTAAAACTTGGTATGCACAACCAGGATCCAGCAGTCTAAATCACATCTCTGAAGCTGCTTGCACTAAACTGATGGGAAGTAAAGTTGCTCACCACTTGACCTGCTTTTACATGACAGAACTCTGATAGGGCTGCTGTGAAGGTACGTGAGTTACTGTTGTCACTTTTACTATAGCCAAAGTCAGATATGACAGTTTTGAAATGAAAACAGAAGTTCTTCACAGAACTGGAGTGAAGCCTTCTGAATAATCATTTAACCTTTTTGTGATGAGGTCAGATGCAGATCAGTTCAGATGGTCTCTTCTATTTTCAACAAAGCTATCAATACATATTCTCTCCCACCCCTCCCCTCTAATGAATAAAGCATGATTATTTGCCTTATTAAGCTAGAGACATGAAGAGTCTTACCCTGTAGCCTTTATTCAGGAATAAAGTCCGCAGTTATTCAAGTATTTCTTTTACATTTGACAGGGTTGCTTCTTTCAGAACTTTTTTGTCTAGTTGCTACAAGACAAACCACGAAGTAGGAACCTAACTTCTGATAAAACTCATCCATCCAAATATTAGTACAAATTAAGACAAAGTAACTTCAGATTTGCAGTCTTGAGAAATATTTCAGGTCTTCTGCCTCCTCGCTTTGCCTCCCAAAGATGCTGATATTCTATCTCATCCTTAAAATTTAGTAATCTTAAACTGCCACACAGTGAGGCTATTTCTGAAAGACCAAAAACCTAAGTTTGAGTGTCACAAACACTGAGCAATTCAAAGCAAAATGATGGACACAAACATTTCTGTGACTATGACAAAAGAATACTAGAAGCTGGTAGAATCTGAAGTGGTGATATTTTTCAGTAAGGCATTCCAGATACATTCAGCAAGGCACAAAGCAAACAGTATCATGGATAACTTGACCACCCGCTAGTTTGGGTGCTTCCTGAGAGGAAGAGACTCCTTGGCTCCAATTCTTCTGTTGACAATTTTTTGGAATATGTTATCCAATGTTAAAGTGAAGAAAAATAATGAACAAGAGGTACCTCCTTCTGCTGAAAAATAATGTACCAATTATCTATGTCCTTAACAGATACTGAAGTGATAGTACACTTGTAAAAACTGTTTAATGTTTAAATTTCATAATATGGTAAGGTATTATGTCTTCACATGTGCAGTATTTTTTCTTATTGTTTCCACTTGTTCTTCTGAAATTCTCTCTCCCCTTTACAGAACTAATTAATCTCATGACAATGAAGAAAAGGAAACCTAAAGCAGTTGTATATTGCTTTTGCAGAAATGAAGTATATACTCTGAAATGATGGTGAAGGGTGTAGTAAGAGTACCCAATTACCAACAGATGTATTACCTTCAACATGCTCTTCCGTTGCTCAGCCGTAACCTCTCTCTCGAACACTTTGTCTGCAGATGGAAAGCTAAAAATTTAGAGATGTATTAGATTTCCAAGAAGGCTACCTTCAAAATATGCAGGATGAGAATACCAGAGCCACAGCGGAAATTTCCCATCAATCTGAATGGGACTTAGTACCAAAATGCAGGATAGTTTAGAAAATTCCTGTCAGACTTCCACTCATGTAATAAAACTGTCATATTTCAATTTGAAGGATGACAACAGTCATACGTAAGTGATCTGAATCTGTTATTTGGCTGCATATTTACAGGGGATAGCTAAATTACCCAAAATAATTGTTCAGAATTAAGAATGGAGATGATCCTATCCACTGTAAGTGCACCAGGAAAGAATATGACCCACAGTCAGAAAATCAATGGTTGCAACATGGAACTCAAGTTATCATAATTCCAGTCTTACAAAATTCCTACTTTGTTTTAGGCAAAAAACAGAGTTAGAAATGCAGGCACTGAGGACACAAAGGGAAGATTTCTCTTTCTGAGGTAGTATTAACTAAAACTGTTTAACTTCCTAGCAAGAAGGACATCAATTCAGTATACAGTATTTCACATAGGGCATCTGAAGGCATTTAAATGAAAACATTAAAAAGACACTGCAAAGCTGCATTCAAGAGTTTAAAAAAACTTTGCATGATGTACTTATTAATTATTTGGGAAGTACGAGACTACACGGGCAACAGTGGGGAATTACCTGCATGCTTACAGTGGTTAATTCTTTAGAAGACAGACACCACAACTATACACCAGAGAAAGCAAAGAAAGAGAGTGAAAAGACTATCCCTAGCAAGCGTGAGATCCTGCAGTTTGGATTTAGTGGCACTTTGTATCCAATTTGTATAGATGAAACCAGTTGCTCCAGAGAGAGGACAAGAAGATATGCCAGTGAAAAAAACAGAACAATCACATTCTGTTCCAGCTTTTGCTAAGGCACATCTAGAATAATTACTCTGGTTTTATACAAATGTGAGAGCAAAATGTGTTGCTTTTATGAAGATACGATCTTATGATAACAACTAAATTCCACAGTTTCAAAATAAAGTTTTAATCTCTCTACCTGATCACATCAGTCTGTGTTTGAGCTTCCACATGTCGCTTGCAGTGATTTTTAGTTTTCCTTTTCCTTTGAGCAGGATTGTAATACCTGTACCCTGACAGGAAAGATTTAGCATCTGATATTAAGATGTGTGGAGTAAAAGGTTTTCGGCTATGAGTAAAGAATTCTGAGTGCCTGTCTAGAAGATCCCCACTGCGTACTTTGGAGTTGCTTCCTTGACGTCTCTGGGAACAACTGATGCTCACAGAACTACCAGAGGAACAACTGCATGAACGTCCAGAGCGTTTTCTTGGTGTACTTGATGTACTGACACTTGAGTTAGATGTATTCCGAGAACCTTTTCTGGTGTATGTTACTGGACTGGAGCGAACCAAGCCATGCTCGCTGTAAGGAGACAGTGCTCTCGATAGGTATTGTGCCTGCTGAGCACCAGGGAAGAGACTGTCTTTGTCTTCTGCTTCCAAGAAACTCTAGAAAAAATGAAAACAACAGCAAACAAATTTTTGTATAAACTGACTGATTTCATCCACATGTATAACTATTTACGCAATTCAAGTTCTGCTACGCACAACTGTATGATGAGAAGAGGTGACTTGCACTGTGTGTACTCAAACTGCCTAGCAAAACAACTCCCAGAGACAGTGCTTGCACCTAGGTCCTGCAGCCTAGTGACGGAGACATGCTGATGATAGTGTTATTCCAGAAAAGCTCATGTTGTTCTGTGCAGTCAATATAATACAAAACAAAATAATAGCTAAAACAAAGTGACATCTGAGAAAACCCAATTCAAACCCAACAGGTAACAGATAGATGCAAAATAATTCAGTTTTTAATAACCAGTCAGACTTTTTAGAAGAATTATTTTATTTTCCTTACACTCAGCCAGTTCATGTAGCTCCACATCAACAGTAGCTAAATGCTGCAAGATTTAAGAGAACATATACAAGTAAAGATTTTTCCTAAGAAGAAAATTCAATTTCTAAGGCCTTACTTCAGATTTGTAAGAAACCTGAAGTTTACGTTCAGATAAGATAAAACGTAGATTAACTTGTTCATGTCCCTCCACCATCTGAACAAAGAACAGGAAGATAAGGAGAGACCTGTACAAGCTCTGCAGTGAAAAACAGAAGTGGAAGTTGATTTCTGTGTTTCATTCATCTCTATAATGCTTCTATCAAACATGTAAAGACTATTAAGTAGAAGCATTACATTACTGATGTCACTGAAGGAATAGCTCCCCTATAGAAAGCCTGAGAAAGAGTGGATCCAGTATGATATGACTTAAACATACGGAATTATTTATGGCATATGACCGTAACTGCCAGTTGAGAAAATTCACCCAGCAGCCCATCCTCATCTTACAGTTAATTCATGTTGAAATTATTTCGAGACACTAACACCAAAACATGGATTTGGAATCAAGAATCTCAACACCTATCTTGCTTACCAATATTTATTCTACTGAGAGATATTTGTTTTGAAATTTACAATTTCAACTGTAATTTGATGTGTAAGATACAAGTTTATTCAATGACACATTTCAGCAATAATAATACCCTTGAAAAGGTTTCATAAATTACATGTTTATGATTCAATTTTGTTAGTCACAAAACTGGAGTAAACGGAATACTACTTGCAGCAAGCTTGTATAAAAAGGACCCCTGAATCTTCATGGACTCTGTGGGAGAGGAAGTTCAGTAAAGATGGATCAAAGCATACTGCAGTCATCTGATGGGCAAGAGAAGTAACATAGAGGAAGAACCCAGATTTCTCTCTAAATTACTTTTATTTTCTAAAATAAGTTCAGTTTTTCAACTCAAAAGCCTCTGAGGTATCACCTCCCTTACAAAAAACACACTGCAAAGAAAGCTTGCTAAATCTGTTTTCACATAAAAGGTCCAAAGACACCTCTCACTACAGTCACTGAAGTTACACCGAGATGAATTTAAGCCTTGAAATTAACTTGTTCTTATATGAAAAAGTCTTCCAATAGAATACTTCATCTACCATCATAAAATCAGATCAGAGACACATTTGATGAACTGCACTGTCAAGATACAGAAGCTGCAGTTTACTAATAAATAAGCATCTGATTCTTTTTACTTGAGACAGAGCCATTTATAAGCCACTTGAATATTGCTTAAGTGGGGTGCCTGCTCTCCACTGCCTTGACAGAATAAAGGTCTCCTGCTGTAAGCAAGAAGCTGCCTTTACAGTTGCTGATCTCATAACCACCTTGTATGTCATCTGTTCATTCCATTACACAGTTTGATAATTAGTTAAGAACTGGGAAAGGCAAGAGAGAAAATTCACACATATACATGAACACATAAGATCTATAATCAGTTTGCATACTGGCATCAACATAAGTATTTTTCTATTCAAAACTAGGTTCCTGTTACATTCTTTCCTTTTATGTGTGTGTGGTATTCAATTGTATAATGAGGTATGTTCCTACTTTCATCAAATACTGGGATGTTACTAGTAAAGGGTGTTGCTGAATGTGCATATGGAAATGTACTAATTTGAACAATCAGCATAAGAGGTGACTATGACTATGAAGCCTGAAAGGAAATCTATACTGAGCACTCCTGATGAAAACATCTGTCTTTCGTGCTCAGAAGGTTCTTCTGCTTTCTTCAGTCACTTACATCTCTCATTCTGACAGAACTAATTCAAGCACAATACATCTTCAGACTTAATATCATAACAGTGTAATAAATCTTTAAATATAAAGCATTTGAATAGGCAATTCGCATAGCCACGCAGGTGTGCTGCATACAAAAATAACAAGAGAGATTAGAAACAGTTAATGGTGTTTCCTAATCTGTATTTCATATGCACAAGCAGATGGTCATAACTGTCATTCTTAAGAAATAAAAAAAGTTTCAAAAAACAGGCTGAAAGGGATCTTGACATGTCAAGGCAATGGCAACCGTATTTTGAATGGATAAAAGAGAAAAGTTACCTCCTACAGAGCAGCCTTCCTCCAACTGACTTTTAACATGGGTTACTTTCATTAAAAAGTTTCATTAGCAGCCACAAATGCCTATTAATAGGATTATCTGAACATGGAATAAGAAATACCAAGTCTTGCTCAAATCAGAGATTTTACTCATGGCCAGCTCAATTCCGGTTTTCTTGCTTCAGAGAGGTCATATGGAGCTTCGTACAGTTTGACCTGCTGACTCAGGTGAATGTTTAAAAACCCAACTCATCTTTTTACAGAAAAATAAAGATTAAAAATCTAGGGATTTCACTAGAATATAGCTTTCCATCCCTGGCAGCAGTTGGAAAGACTACGTAACAGTGGCATTCTATGCATATTTGGTATTTTCCAGACTCTGTTAAGCAGCCTTTTCTATTGTGAGAAAACGTAACAGTAATTCATTAAGGAAGGAGCACATATAAGTAATTTGATGACAGATAAATTAGTAGATACCCAAAAATGTGCTTACCAATTCTCAAGTTTTTCAGTCTAAATAAGCCTCTAAATACTTGCTTTAAAATTACATATTCACAGACACACAAAGTTAGCAGCCTTTTCAGAATCCATATCTATAGTTTATCATCCTATTTTGATTAACTTTCACATATGGTGTCAACCTTCGTTATTACACTACATAGAAAGAAAGGAGAAGAAGAGAAGTACATCTGTCCCCAGCACATCTTATGCTTTCCCTGCCCCTCTACTTCACTGTAGGAGATAAATCAGTCCCTGGAGTAATTTATTGCTAGTGATCCCATACAGAGACTGCTCCATTGCGCCATTTGAAATGAGCCTGCTCCGCAGCTTTTCACTTAGGTCTTCTGCTAAAAGTATAGAAATGCATGACACAACCTGTGGCTCTAAATGAAGTATTTTAATCACTGAAATCAAAATACTCTCTTTGATTAAAATCTGTGGTTATTTCAAAGAGTCAGTAATGAAATCTAGGTAACCACAACAGAAGTAAGTTTCTGAGTTCATTACGTATCATAGCAGATTCTCACATTACAGTAGCTTTACATTTATAACTAGGTAAAACAGATAAAGAAATCACTCTTCTAGTGCATTTAAAGCCTTGTACAAAACAGTCAAGTAGCAAGCGAGTGAGGTTCAAGGCACATTATAGCTATTCAGTTTCATAGTTACTTAGTGTATAATAAAATACACTGACTAAATCACAAAGGTTTTAAGAAATGTGTAACATGTATTTATAATTTAGAGGAATTATTTTTGCTTCTATTTTGTTTTACCATGCACAAAGCACAGTCTCAATTGAAAAGAGTTTCTGTGCTCTACTGCAGTATTAAAAAATCATAAATGCAGCTATGTGGAGAATCAAAAAGAGAATAAAGGCACCAGACCTACCGGAATGCATAAAATGTGAATGCTAATGAATAAAGCCTTTTGAAAACATGAAGTCAGGAGCATACATCAAAAGAGTTAGCACATATTTAGGCTATAATCTAGACATTGACCTTGTCGGAGTTGCAGGGGTTATTACATTTTTATATACATATAGGTGTATGTAAGTCACTCAAATTGATACACATTTTACAAGAGCCACATTTTATTAGACAAGAAATTATGCATTATGAAGGTAATTTAACTTTTGTATTCTTACTTTTAAATGTCAAAGTGGCAAAGCCGGGAGAATTCTACTTCTCTGTTTTTTGTGTTTGTTTTTTTTTTAATTACACTCCTGTAATGGCGTAAAATGCGTACTAAGCACAGGACCACACTCTACTCTGCCATTACCTCCTTGGAAACCTGCAGTATTGCAAGGCTGACTGCTTCAAGTTTGTGCTGAATCTCATACCAACCCGCAAGTATCCTGATTCAACAGAACGACTTTTGGAGCAGTTCCACAAACAGAAGATGTATAATCAGCTTTCTCCTAATGGCAACAGTAAGAGCAATCATATGATTACTGTGTGGTAAAACTCCTCTACGTTATCATACTCTTTAATAGGCATTGTTAGAATTTGTTTCCCAGTTGTCACCTACGGATATATCCTGATGGCAAAACCAGTCACACGAAGAAATTAAGGGTGAGTTTTCTGGGCTACCTGGAAAAGTTCTCCAGCTCCATGAATATTTAAGCAACATATGAAGCATTTGCTATTAAAATCAATAGAATAAAACATCATTCTGTTTTAAGCTGCAACTGCTCCTTTACAGTGATGAACAACAGAATGTAGTTTACTAGGCTATTTATTTATTATTTGGAAATATACACCATGTATCTGGATGAAATGCCAGCCATAATAAGTGAACCTATGTAAACAGACAGAAAAGCACTTATGTGATGGCATAAGTACTATTTTCACTTTCAATACATGCTCAGGAGCGTTGCATCCCGACTAGAAGGAAGTGTGGCAGGAGGGCCGGGAGACCTCCATGGATGGATAAGGAACTGCTGAGGAAACTTAGAGGGAAAAAAGAAGCTTACAGAAGGTGGAAGCGAGGACAGGCAGCCTGGGAAGATAACAGGAACGTTGTCCGGGAAGCCAGGGACCAGGTCAGGAAAGCTAAGGCCAAGTCAGAATTAAATCTGGCAAGAGATGTCAAAAATAACAGGAAAGGCTTCTACAGGTACAAAGCAATTAAAAGACAGACTAGGGACAACGTGGGCCCTTTCCAGAAGCTATCAGGAGGACTGGCTACCCTGGATTTGGAGAAGGCTGAGGTTCTTAATGACTTCTTTGCCTCTGTCTTCACTAACAAATGCTCAGACCACACAACCCAAGTCTTGGAAGGCAAATGCAGGGACCGTAAGAATGGAGACCTTAGGCCCACTGTAGGAGAGGATGAGGTTCGAGACCACCTTAAGAACCTGAATGTGCACAAGTCCATGGGACCTGATGAAATCCATCCACGGGTCCTGAAGGAGCTGGTGAATGAAGGTGCTAAGCCACCGTCCATCATATTTGAAAAATCATGGCAGTCAGGTGTAGTTCCAGATGACTAGAAGAAGGGTAATATAACCCCCTTTTTCAAGAAGGGGAAGGTGGAAGACCCGGGGAACTACAGACCAGTCAGTCTCACCTCTGTGCCTGGCAAAATCTTGGAGCAGATTCT